GGAACTAAATCCAGTTTAGTTTTTTCAAAACATAAATTTTCTTATTAGAGGATTGAACATGCTTTGCGCTTAAAACAAATAAAAATATTTCTGTCATTCTCTTTTCAGAAATTCTAATAATTTAGCCGAAACAGTTTAAAATTCTCAAAAAGTTTGATAATTTGCATTTGAGAAAACACTGCCATTCTATTTGGCATCATACAAAATCATGCTGACCTTAATCTTACAATTAGCTAAATTGCGCTACATCCACGTATTAATTTGTATCTGCATAAACAAGGTGTACTTTTGTAAAAATGATGCATTTTCATTTAAGTTTCAGCATCGAAACTTTTACCAATTTTAGATAAAATCGTGCTTCTGCAGCATTTAAATTTTGTTCAATGACATGCATAGTGAAACAAAGATCATTGTGAAACAGATCTCGATAATTATTTGTTAATAAATTATTCTGTTGAGAAATTCAGTTTAATGTGCAAACGTTTCATAATCAAATATCAATGACCAGAAGCGAGGTCTTATTTATCAGCTTATCCTTTTAATGTATTAAAAAATAAGCCCCCGACAGTTACTCTGACAATTCATTTGATGTGTAAAAAAGTAGAATATCCTCATTCGGAAAAAGAATACCTTAAACAAGCGGAGGTTCAAAGTAAACGCATTAATTAGAAAAAGCTAATTGGACAATATGAAACGTTTTCTTTCAGAACGATAAATATTTTTTTTGTTTAGTAAAGAATAATATTTTCTCATGTCATAAGAACAGTAGATTAATAATGCATATGCTAAACAGATTATATGCTTTATCGGAATAAATAATAAATTCCTTAATTAATGTGCTTACTTTTTTTCCCTAAAACTTTAAATAATTTATTCTAAAACAAATGTACGAATAAAATCCTTTAAAAACGCATGATATTTTTATTTGAAATAATCTTAATAATTCTCTTATTTATACCTGAAAAGTTAGATAATTTTGATAAATATAGCTCTTTATTACTTATTATTATTAAATTAAAATAATTGACAGAAAAATCATTTGTTTTAAAAGATGAAAGTATTATTCTAGAACTAAAAGGTTTTTGTCTTCTAACTTCCAGACTCATCATACAGTTTTATATTGAACTACTCAAAAGGCGTAATTTAATTACATATTTTAAAATATTTCAAAATATTAAGTTTAATTTATTTCCTTAAACTTTCAATTAAGAAATAATTTATATTTATTGCTTATGAAAATATATTATTTGATATTTTATTTAGTGTGCATCTGAGTATAGTATTTTTCTAAGGAATGTTATATGTTAAAAAATACTTTTATTGAGCACATAATTTTAATCTAACTATTTGGATATAAAATATTTCCGAAATTTACTAGATTTATTAAATTAAACATGACACAATAAATCTCTGAAAATTGCGTATGTTCTAGAAATTAAAAATTAGTAAGAGAAATATAATGGATAAGTGCATATATTTCATTTAAATTTGTTAAGGTTGTTACTCACAGCTGAGAACATCTGAGGATATTTTCCTTACAACAATTTGTGTAAAAACCTTGTAAAATAAACTGAGAATATTTTTAAATTAAATAGAAAAGTCTGCACTGCTTGTAGTTTAAACTGCAGTTAGGTTTATAAAATCCCAAATTAACTATGATTATATCAAAGGTAAATGTAAGCATTTCTAATTAATCAATTCACATATATGAATGCATGCATAACATAATTACTACTTTAAAAAATATTGTGCATGCTTTTTTTTCTTAATAAAATTTATATATTTGTTATTTGAAAAACATTAACTTGCAATAAATCTTCAATTCAGTATCAGAGCTTAGAATTATTAGAGTATTAGAATTCATAATAGTACAAATTCGATAAATAAAATGCAAAAGGTAAAAATATACAAGCTAAATACATTTAATGTTTTCTTTTCTTTTTAAAGTTTAGTTTTAGATAATAAGGACCAAATTTTGAAGGTTGTTTAAATGACAATTTGGTTTGATGTTTATTTGTAGTGCTCTGTATTTGTATTTGCTTTTGAATTTCGGTTTTGCATATAATGATTTTAGATTAATCTCGTTTTTACCCAAGTAGCACGGCAACGTCGTAATGACGTCGAAAACTCGCTGCGGGTCATGTTGCAAAAACGTTGCAATATGTCGTCTTTAAGACGCCCAGATGTCCGCGAAACTCCACTGTTTTGCAACCGTTGCAAAGATGTCTTTATTACGCCTTTGCAGGTGAGGTTTTTGTCGCATAGACGTGATTATTGCATCTTTCTCAGGTTATATTTTGGTTATATCGTATCACGACGTCTTAACGACGCCTAAATGTTCGCAAAATCCCACGTTTTTTAACACCTGTGTATACTAGTAACTAGTGTACTGAGTGGGAACAGGGAGGTTACTCAAAACTATGTTCGTGCGAGTGTAGAAGATACAGTACAAATGCGAAGGGTTAAAATTACCCTTTATTTCTCACAGCGTACAGCCGATCCCGCACTTCGGGATACAAAGTTACTAATACCAGGATACAAAGACCAGGACTTGTGTCCTGACACTTAAAAAATAAGAAGTAACATTAACTTAATTAAATAAGAACTAAACTCAGATACTTTACAAAGAATATAAGCCCTTTTTAAACTCTACGTATGTAGGGAGCAGAATGAGGGAAACCACAATACGCCTTCAAGTATCAAAGAGAACTATGTTCTGTCCTAAGGCAGACAGGAACTAACTGAAAATCGCTCGCGTGGTAACGCAGCAAGAAGTCTCTCTCTAACTTTCTCTTGCCCATAAATACATACTTAAAAGTTTGCAAGCTCATTTGCATAACCAAATCTGCTTGCGCTTATTCTGGGTGGAAATGGAAAATAAGAGATGATAGCAAAGTTTTAAAATAAAATAAACGTTAGTAAAACTTAAAATCCTTACAAGTTATGATTTGAATCTCTTCCTTCGGTAGTCCTCACCAGAATGCAAATTAGTTGTTTCTATATTTATTGTTTTAATATACTTATTTACCGTTTTTAATAATTTTTACCCATTTTTTACTGCACATATGTTTATTTTATTAGTATATTTTAACTTACTTATGTAAGCTTTTTGGTATAATTTGTGGAATACGAAAGTTTCAAAAAATATCTTGAGTCAGCTTGAGAACTTTATTTTTTGTGTAGTTCCGGATTACGTTACCTACATCTGAAATTTAACTTTCTGCTATGTTTAAAATAATTGAACGTAGCGTAGGTTCGTCTGTAAGCTTTGCCTTTCTCTCATTTAATACTTTAATAAAAATGTTATCTTATCATTCTTAACTTGGCGATTTATTCAGACTAAGTGATAACTTGCTGCCAATCTAGTAGAGTCTGCAGGGAATTAATACAATCTCCTTGACACAGCAGAACACTACCAAATACGAAATCATTCAAATTCCGTAAGTCTTATAAAATATATAAATTTTATTGAATCGCTTTTAGACAGCAATAATTCGTCTGACAATAATAATTATGTATTTAAAATTGTTGGGTGTCATCTGTGTATTGTATTGCTTCACTGTAAACATGTGCGCTGTACTGTTGTACGCTGTATTGTTCTTTATGTAACATTACTAATTATGTATTTCTAATTGCAGTTAATTTCAGTTCAAATATACGCAATTTCTAATGTATATTACATCTGTAGAAACATGATCTGCGTTCCAAAGCTTCACAGAAAATTAAAATGAATTAAAATTACCTTTATATATTGATAAAACGTTTCTAGCTTAAAATGGATATATTTTATATACTTATGTGGCTTGAATGAATTGACTACAATCAAAACATCTGTTCGTTCGCTACAATCGATAAATGGGTTCATTCATTTAATAAAAAAGTCTCCAGGATTGATACCTCTTTTTCATATGTATCGAAATATGATACAGCAAGTGAAAGAAAACTTATTTAATTTTCATTAAAATTTCGTACCTGATATAAGTACCTAATATGAAAAAAATAATGATAACTTTATTTAATTCCTTTTGTTTTATCTTTTACTTATCTTCATTTCTTTTTGTAAAATATTTACATACCATATACACCTAAACTATTTTGTTGCCCCTGTAAAATATTTTTGACAAGCTGTAGCATTGTGATCTCGAAAATAAAAAGGGACATGAGTTATGAGGATAAGAGCTTTCTGAATTTATTTTTGTGTACTTTTAGTAAACAATCTACACATATCCACTTCAAATTCCCTGCCCCTCCAAAATGTTATACTTCTCGAAAGAATTTTTCAGTTAGGATGTTGTTTGTTCTTAGAATTGCTTACAAAAAGCTTATTTCTAAGTACACATATATTATATTTTTTATTGATCTACCTTTATACATTTTTCCTAGACAATAGATTGAAGCTCGAGGCTCTGCTTCAAAGATTAAACGACGTTTGAAGAATACTTTGTCCGGAGCTACATGGTTATTGATAAAAAATTATAAACATTTGTGGTAACGGTCAACAGAGTTAGCAAATAAAATTAAAAGCTTAGTCTAGCTGAAAAGTTGTCATAATGGTAGTGAAGTATAGGAACTGAATTGTACATAGTATGATATAAGTATAGGAGAGCTGCAGAATATATCAGTAAAAAACTTTAACAATAATAAAGATATTATGAAATATTTTTAATGTCGATTTTTTTCAAAACAGCTGTTTACAATAGTTAAACAAATATCCCTATAAGGTATTTCTCCCGCCTTTTTAAAATGCCTTCGTGGTGTAGTGGTCAGCAGGTTCAACGCGTATTCGAGAGGACCGCGGTTAGTGTCTCGGTGAGGGCATTGCTCCTTTTCACCTCTCCTGCTTTCACAATATAACCTAATATTTCTACAGTGGCGTCCGAAATATAAATGGTGGTAGATGATGATTCTTTGACACCAGGATTTGGCGATTGGGTCCTCTAATCCCAAGTCGCCCTTTAAAAGGGGAAGTATATAAGGTAGTTGCCCCACATTCTTAGCATGCCCTCGTAGTGTAGTGGTCAGCACGCTCGACTTGTATTCGAGAGGTCCGTGGTTCGAGTCCCGGCGAGGGCACTGCTCATTTATCATCTGTCCTGCTACCAAATAACCTAATGTCTCTACATCCCTTTGGTGTAATCATTAGACAGTCATACGATTTTGTTTATCCACCTTTAATTAAGTAGTAGTTCATCTTTTAAGTATTAAGGAATAACTAAACAATATTTTCTCATATTAAACGATAGATACCTTAAGTATTTTCTATGATAAAACGCTTAGATTAATTCATAGTTTTCCATCAATAAATTTTGTAGAGAATGACACACCTGGCATAAACACCTGACAAAAATGTAAAGAGCAGATAGCAGAGATCTAATAACAGAGTATGGAATGTGCATGGAGAAATGACTTGTTAAGAGACTATAAAGCATTGTTAGGATCGGAAGGAGAAAGAGCTCCGATGGTGAAAATCGTCATTCCCAATGCAGATCTCGAGTAGTATGCAACGCTAAATGAAAGCACAGCTTTCTGATCCGTATTTAGTCTATGGAGCCGACGATGAATTCGGAGCAACTGCCGAACAGATGCACAGAGAAGGATTCTCAGGGTCTTTACCTAAAGCTTTGCGAGGGTAAATCTTGTATTAACGTCAAATGCCACGCTTTTGGGTAGCACAGTGAAAATGATAAATTATTAAAATACTTGTTTCTTTTGAATTCACCTGTCTTTCTCACTTACCTGTTGTTCATACTTCTTTACGAGCCATTTCCGCACGCACATTTCTGTTGAATATCTGCTTATTTAGTTTCGTTTTTACATGTTGCCCGGGTTTTACATGTTTACCCTGAATATTTATATAGGATATAATTTAAAAATATTCTAAATAATAAACTTGAATCGAAAACATCACTTAGATTCCTAGAAAATTCAATTTTTCAATGTTATTAGAAACGAAGTGCTTAAATAATATATTATTTAATAGCATATTATTCACGTAAAATAAAAGTTTGGAATTATATTTTGATTTCATACTAAACTTAATATCTTAAACCTAATTTATCTGATTATTTTTCTTATTTTTCTGTTTAAATGCAAATATAAAAAACGAGCAATAACTCTTACACTTGGTATTATCACTTGAAAAGTTCGCTTAATTAAGTTTCTGATTTGAAGAAAAGGTTGCTTTAACTTATGCTTTGACAAGAAAATTGACAAATTCCTTGGTTTTTTATTTCTTTAAATTTACATAGTGATGAAACCCCTTACTTATCATTTAATTTACCACTGAAATAGAAAATGCATAATTATCCTTTTTTATCTCTGAATTTTTCATATTCAAAGCAATATTCAAGTAAATAACATAACAGATTATTTCCTAAGGATTGAATTATTAACTAAGCAAAAAAGGGAAAAATTGAATCTGTTTTTATTAATTTAGATGTCATCTCCTTGCTTACTCCTTTACTATATAATGTTCCATGTTTATGTAGCATTTTGTTCTCATTGTTTATATATATTCGCTTTAATATTTATTTTTCATTCATATTTCTTTTACGCTTACTTTAATTGCTATTCAGGTATTATAAAAATAACTCTTTTCGAGTGTATTTTATTTCTAATCATTTAAACTTTGATTTTTGCTACGAAACGTATCAGGTCAATAAACGTCCCATTTGCATAACACTCTTTGCATTATATGTCCAGACGTAGAAACTGTATGCTTATTTTGCTGATTTCTGTTATTTAGAAAGTATCGCTTATTTCAGCTTTCACATTGAAGTACATTCATACTGAAAGAATTAAATTTTAGAATCTGAAGCTGGAAGATTTAAAGACACTAAGATAAGCCTTCTGGGAAAATGCAGCGATCAATATTCTATAATTTGCATTTATTTGAAAGGCATATACATGTAGAGACTTCATGCGCATGTATATGTAAAGGGAGGGGAAGTTGTTGTTCTTGTTACCATTCTCAGTTGTCTAATAAAGTTCAGCACAAGTCCACTTCATCTATCAAAGCGAAGCGTCAAATGCGGCTGTCGTTGACATGAGTCTTGAGAACTATATAGATAAAAGACTAACTTCAGCTCAATTTTGAGGCTCTCGATCCACTCCCAATTTTAAGGGAGAGAACTCCGGGGGCACGGCCTACGTCGCACAGCTTTTACAAAAATGCGTTCTTTCCCCAGGGTTCGAACCCCGGCCCGTCGGTACGACAGTCAGAGTTACTAAACCTTATACCGGTTGGGCTGCTGGAAGCGAAAGTGTGTGTGATTATGGCAAAGCCTCGAGGGCTATCTGTCTAAGGAAAGGTATGCCTTCGTGGAGGACTTTCTAAGGGAAACTGGCTCGTATACATGTTACACGTGGGGAAAACCACGAAAGCGTAAGGCAGAATTTCGAACACCTATATAATACAATATATACAGACGTGAAGTTAGGCTGTTAGGAATAATTAGCAAATACAAACGTAACAGTCTTCATTGGAGCCGCTCAATATTTAAAACAAACAAACCAAAGAATATTCTTTTACCTTGATCTTTATTAATTATACCGATAAAGAACGAATAAATATTTGTCTTAAATAATCATGAATGCAAATAAAGAACCATAAATAAATAAAAGTTAATGAACTATTTTTTAATTTCTCAAGAAAATAAGTTCAAGAAAGTGGTTGATCTGGTTGAATTCGGTCGCCTTGATAAGGAGCTATAGTTTCACATCATTCGTTTTTTTTCAGTAATTGCATTTCACTTTTCTATTGTGTTGCTTCATTTTATCTTTCGCCTTCTAATCTTGCCAACCAGATGAAATATAATTTTCTTGGGAGGGGCGAGGGTAATATATATATTATTTTCAATGCAGACATATCTCTTTAAAAGACATGGAAGATAGGTTATAAATAATAACTGGCTTTTAGCACGCGTATGGTAGCAGTAAGATAAAAGTAATTAATATAAATTTAAGCTTTCTATGTAACCGTTAAAGATACCTTTAATAAGGATGAAGATCCTCAGTTTATTAAATGCTTTCCTTATGCTTACGTAAGCAAGCTTTAATCTATATATCTATAGATAAACAGATAGAACCTTTTTCATCTGTACGTAATCTCTTAGAATGCCATTTTTCTCTAAGTCACGAGTCCGAAACTAAGATGAAGTGTAAAGAAAGGTTTTAGAGAACGTGCACGAGTAGAAGTTAGATTAGCCACCAACACCTTTTCTTGCTCCCACACATCTTTCTCTCTTTTCTTCAAATTAGACACCAAAGCTATCAATTGAATGTGCGCAAGAGTACAGTGCGCCGCTCAATGTTCTCAAAAGTGAGGGAACCAGAGCGCCTGCCTCCAGAGCATGAACGGCCACGAAAAGAGAGGCGCTCGTTTCTCTCTTCGTCCGGATAGTAAAAGTTTCACCACGTGGTACCGCGTTTGGCTTTAATCACTAAAATTGCTGGACACGAGCGATTACATGGGTAACAGCATCATGTAAGCGTTTTGTGGTTTATAATTGCGTCGTCTTCTTGCGGATTCTACAAGAGGTGGTTCGGAATAACTTTGCTGATTTAAGTACAACTCCTTAACTTTACCTGCTACATTTTATTAGAGCTTTTAATGACTACAGACGAAGATTATTTGTTTTACTATCAATAGCCGAAAAGTTAAAAATATATTTATTTAGTATGATTTTTGTTGGAATACGAATGACAAATCTTAAATTTCCTTTAATTATGTAAAGAAAAATTACAATAATGTATAAATTTATAATTAAGACCATTCAAAATGAGTTATTGGAATGATATAAAACTTTAATATTGTCACTATACCTTATAACATTTAGATATTTCCAGTGAACTCGACCGGTAAAGTTTAAAATATATTTCCTCCATTTTATCGTATTTGTGGTCAGCGAGTTTGTCATTGATTGATGGTTTCCCCTATTAAATACCCATTAGTAGACGATAACGAGCAAAAATGGAATAAAGTTATGGAAGACCAGTAGTTATGTGTGATATTAACAGCATATATCGTAGAAATATTTATGCAATAGTTTGATCTGTGTTTTCATTGATCCAGGTGCTACCTGAGGGAAGTTGAGCTCTTCAAAACCGTTTCGTGACTGGTAAAAAAATAACGATCGAAATAAAAAACGTAATATGCAGCGCTTACGATATTCTGACAATAATATCTGAAATATAGATTATTCAACAAACCCTGAAATATATCTTTTGCTTTTAATTGACTAATATCAACAGGTTCACCAGCTCCGTTAATACGTATACTGAAACAAATATAAGGTACCTTGTTGCAGACGTTACGATTTCAAAAAATAGACGGCGTACATTGCGCTCTTAAGCTCGTTAATAATTCATCTGCACAGCCTGTTGAAACTGAGACGCAGCTCACTTATTGCATTTAGTGCACTGCAAAGTGAACAATTTTTTGACTGACTTTTGAAACATTTACCACAAGCATGTTGTTGTTTGTTGTCTTAAGCATCAGTGCACACATCTTTAGTGGTAAGTTATGAATTCCTTTCTTTTTTACACTTTATTTTAGACAGGAGACGACTTCTGAACTAACCCAATTGTTTATTGTTATTCGGAAGCTTTGTTCTCCGTGAATGTTATATTCACAGGTCAAGAACTGATTTTTGTATTTTTCAGCTACTAGTACTTACCTTCCCATTTGTAATTTTGCTTATGTTGAAGAGACCCAAAGAATCCAATTCATTTATTGATTAGTGTTTTTTAAACTGTAGTTCATAGTCATATGGTACTAATAAAATGTCAAGGAAGTATCTATGCTTATTTCGGAAAATTAAGACTGTATTTTACTTCCCAAAAAAGTAAAACATTTCCTCCTAAAATGAGATGCTATACTACTAAGTACGCATAATAATGTTTAAAATGCATTTCTTTTAGAAGTACAGATTATCAGAAAAACATTCATCCGTTATATATAAATTAACTTTTTTTAAAAAATTTTCTTTCAAAGTTTTAATTATAATATTAGCTAATGCTACTCTGCAACGCTTGGGGACAATGTTTCTCAAGGAAGAGACACTCTTATGCAT